CTACTAAAAATATCTAACTAAAATTCGTAACAATATTATATATTTCGTGTTTATTGTATTTCTTTAGCATCTCTGGTGAAACTTTTCCCCCCTACTTATCAGCCACTTTAAAGATGATCTGCCTCTTATTTCATTACTCTTGGATGAATAATGTTATTTCTCTCTTTTCTATTTTTGTGAGCCATTTATCAATTAGTAAATATAACATTTTGTAGGATTTTAGTAAATTCCACAGATATTCTGGTTAAAAGAGCTCTAGAAATATTAACATTTTTCAGTCTTGCTATTTGAAACTATTCTAGGAGAACAGTTTCAACATCTGTCAATTTCCAATCCCTTTTCCATTTCATTGAGACTTTTTTTTTAAATTAGTTCTTCATCCATTACAGTTCTCAGTAACTGCATAATACTGTTTTATAAACTCTTGGTTTGAATGCTGCTTCTCTGTGGCTGCACTTACCAAGATTATAGTATCATTTGACAGTTTGTCTTTTTCTTGAAGTCTTAAATCTTTTCATTGGGAAATTTTTGACATTTTACAAGTTGCACATACAGCAACTTAATACGCTTTCCAGCGATTTCTTTGATTGCAAAACTTAGCCAGCAAAAAGATTGCCTTTTGTCATTTGAATCGATTTCCTACTCCACGATTACATGTGTGTCGATACTATCTTTACCTCTTCTTAAACCTCCAGCAACGACTTCCTTTACATTCTAAGAATGATAATATACAATAATGCTCGGGAGAATTTTGTAAAATTTGCTGATAACTGTCTGTGAACATAATGTGAGTATTCCAATAGGAAGATTTTGGATATGGAATACTTGATTGAGTGTAGAATTTACACATCCATTCCCTACATCAGCTGGAGTTTGAAAAGGAGCACTAGCTCATTCACAGGGTCTGCAAAGCAAGGGTTATCAATCCTTTTTTGCCACATGCACCCCTTTGACCATTGCTAGATGATCATTTCCCTCCGTCCTTTCCAAAGTTTAAAAGAAAAAAAATATATATATATATATATACATTTATTTAGATTATTTTTATCTGCTTTGTTAACTAAATGAGAAAAAACATAGAAAATATTGATTAATACCAAACCTTTAATAAGTAGTTGTTTTTATATTTGTAAACTTAATACTTAACAGGTAAGTAAAAGTCTGGCTGCATTCCTTCCCAGAAACTATGATCTCCCCCCCCCCCCAGTTTGGAAACCCTGCTCTAGAGGATTGCTTTCATTAACTTTGTAGGAACATTGTAAGGAAATTATGCTTCTGTCAACTGCAGACCTAATGAAACACTTTGCAAACAGTGTCTGGTAGGTACAAGGATAGAGTGGGTGCTACTAGGCAGTCTGAAATTTTGGCTAAATCAGTTTTATTAAAGCACTATGTACCTGAACAATGAATAAGCTATAGTGTATAAACATCTTTGATAATTTACCAGTAGGATATTCTGGCACTGTAGAATCAGTCTTTTGACAGTTTTGAGTTTTTATGATCTGCAGAAAGTTTAATAAACAGTGTTTTTTTTAAAAATGATTAGTGTGTGTTAATTTTGATTCCTAGGTATTTGAATGTAATAAGCAACAAATTTTAATAACTGGTGAGTTTTTATTAACCAGTGAGTTGTGAATACACTACTTCCAGTATACTTTCACTACTTACAGAAATGTTTAAAATGAAGCAAATATTTATGTTTTGACATTTTTTAATTAAAAAAAGTGCTTTTATTAAAATTAGAAAATCTAACTTTTTGTATGATCTCTTGGCTCCTATTTAGCAAAATTTTGTTCTCATTAAAAAAAAGTTTGATACCCATGTTAAAAATTGACTGAGATATTTAATATCAAAATTTCAGATATTTCTGATATTTTTCCACTTGCAGTGAGAGGTTGGTTAATAAATGAATTAGAGTATTTGGAATAAATTTTCTCTCTTAAAAATCTTTCATTGATACTTTTTTTGTGATTTACTAATAATATGTGATTACACATTCTTTACATTCATTTTGTTATTACATGTTCTTTACAATTGGTATGCCAGAAAAAATATTCACACAATTTATAAGTTTTCACATGTTAAAAATAATTAATATTCTCAAATTTTATTAAACTAGAAATGTTTTTAATTTATGCATACGATTTTACAAGTTGGCTATATATGCCAATACCGTACGTAACCTGCCAGTGTTTCCTAGAACACGAATTCTATAAGATTCTTTGAATAAAATTTCCTTCTTGAAAAACTTTGATCAATCCATTTCGCAGTAATCTTGTCACTAAATGGTCAAGCATCGCAAGTATTTTTTAAAAACTGATATTTTATTTTTTGTTTTGTACAGATGCAAACATTTCAGTCTTCAGTATATGAACAGCCCCTGAATATTTGATCACCAATTTCAAAATGAAATAACACGTTTTATCTTACATAGGAGTCACACTTTTTGTATTTTATTTTTTATAATGAGTACAAAATTTTTTTTTAAATATTATGTATATATGTAATATTAACTTAGAGAATGTATAAAAATTAAATTTTGAAGTTTTAACAATTTTTAGATTTAAATGTTGAAATGGGAATATTTGCACCATTTAAAACATTTTTGTAATTAGAAATGTATATCTGCAGTCAGCAGCTAGGAAAATAAACTAGAAAAATTCAAGAATTAAATCTTCATTGGACTGCTCATGTTTGCAGTTTTCTTAATTAAATATTCCCAAATTGGTGGATTAGCAGAGACTGTCTGTTTTCATGTGTTGTCAAGGCCACTGAATATTTTGCTTCTAGACTTTAGCTATTATGACAGTGCATTGCAGAACCATTTCAGAGAGCTGCACAACAAATGTTGTGGATGCTTGAATGTTGCTTGAGTATTTTTTGTATTTTGAGGGTTACAACTTTTGAAATTTTTAAAGTTGCTTTGTTTAATTAATAAAATGTTGTATGTTTATATACTTGTTTTTAGATTTCTATTTATTTAAAGTGTTCACTAGAAAGACAGCATTTGTGAACACTTTGCATAATGCAGAATTTATGTAATTCTAAATAAAGTTGAACTCGTAAGTTAGATCTCGTAAAATGCTGTTGATCATGGAGGTAGGAAGTTAGATGGAGTGGCCCTAAACCGGTTTCCCCATACGCTGGTTTGAAGCACTGGCGATTCCTTCTTTGGTGACCAAAACATTGGGTAATTTACCATTGAGTTCAATGGGTTTTGATACGATCGGATGTAAATATTTTGTAATTACGTCGTAAATATGCATATAAATGTATACATTTTCTTTTTCTACTATAATTCAGAGGCCTAAGTATATGAAAAGAATGCATTTTTAAACAACATTTCGTTCTGAACGGAATTAAATGCTATACTTTTCACAGAGCAGATTGCTCAGAATGGTTTAATTTGAAATATTTTCACAAGTTTTCGTTAATTACATTAGAAAAAAATTTAAGGTAATTCGATTTGATTCGGTTAAGGATTACAAAAATTAAGATCAAAGTTCATTGCATTTTTAAAATTATGCATTATTTCTTTTCTATTTATAGAGCTTCTTTCTAAAATACTTTCTCAAATATGACATGATTTTTTAGCTTCTGAGGCATCTTTTAAATCGAAAACTATAAGTCAATTTATAATTAATGCTGTATTCGGTCCATTTCAAATTGGAGCGCCTATTAATTTAATAGCGAAATACTTTAAATAGTACTTAACTTTCTCTGAATATTTCTGAAAGAGAATAAAATAAGAATTATTTTTTTAAATATTTATTTAAAACTTGTAACTGACTTATATAAGGGAATATATGACTGATAAGGGGAATAATTCTTTTATTTATACTTATCAGATTTTTTTACCCTTAATTTTAACAATACATATTTCAAAAATCTTCGTTATTACTTTCTTAAGTACACATCTCATGGAAATTGCTTTACAATACCTTTTAACAGATTGCTTTCCAGTACGAACAATTCTTGCTTAAATAGCTTTATAACGTATTTGTCAACAGGATGTCAATTTATGTTTACAATTCAATGTTAAGGTTATTACATATTTAGATAATATTTATAATCATTATAAATTTAGATGCATTTAGTAATTAGATTTCTTCACAGTAACTTTCACAGTTATTTATGAATGAATAAATCCTTCATTTCAAATACATTTATAGATAATTAAATAAATATTTACGTATTTTGTTAAAGGCAGATGCATGCCTTTTGGAAGCGCATGCATATTTCATATTTTTCATTTCCGGCATGTGAAAACCTTTAATTTCTGTGCATTAACTATATTTTTCGAGTAAAGTAATTTACACTAATTTTAAAAAGTATATGTTACAATAATCTGTGGATGTGAAAAAAATTTATTTTATTTAAAACATTTTGGCGTTTGGAACATAAAATAAAAGTAGCGAATACTTTATTAAGGGTATCGAAAAATGTATACAATTTTAAAGATACGGTGAGGTATTTTTCATTCTTTAAGCATAACTTTTTTGCTAAAATATAAATTTTTGTAGTTCAACAGCTTAGAATTTTATAAAACAAATTCATAATCAAAAGCGCTGTTGTTAATTATCGAAAAATAACCAAGATGTGATTTTTGCGTAAATGTCGCTAAACTATACAAAATGCTATTATCCATCACACTAGGAATGTTTCTTTTATGCGGAAGTGTTCCGTTTTCGATTTGTATAGAACAGTCGTGTATCAAAATACTATCAGACAGCTGTCAAGCGAGCTTCTGAATGTAAATAAAAAACACCCGATCTGGTGACCGAAGCTTCGAAGTAGTGCTTCACTTCTAGTACCGGTTTGGCCACTCCTTCCTTTCTTACCTCCATGCTGTTGATGGTAATAAAATGATATACTGGTTGTTAGATTGTAGTTGAAATTGTGTTATTTATAATTTCTGTACTACAGCTTCATAGTTTATTTCAAAATGTTTTTCATGCATTTGTAAATGCATGCTTTTAAAATAGTTATATTCATTTTAGCGGGACCACAGCAGCAATACCAACAACAGTCAGCATATCCTCCAAATCAAGCTCAACCTCCTCAGCAGCCTTCTCATACTCAGTATAATAGTAGCCCTTCTCCACAGAGTAATTATGCTCAAAATCATGCACCATCTAATTATAACAGTTCGTCACCACAGAATTATCCTGCACCTGTAAGCCAGGCTCAAGGCTATGGACCTAGTTCTTCTCCACATCCTCAGACAGCTCAGCAGCAAGCTCCATCACAGCAGCAGCAGCAACAACAGCAGCAGCAGCAGCAACAACAACAACAACAACAGCAGCAGCAACAGCAGTCATCTCAACAGCAACAACAACAGCCACTACAAGCCCAGCAACAACAATCTTCTCATCAACCGCCACCAAACCAGCAACAGCAACAACAACCTTCTGTCCAAAATTATCCCAATCAATCTTCTAATCAGTCTCAGAACAATTTTAATATGCCTCCTACTTCAACTTCCCAGCCTCAAGTGTATACTACTCAGTCATCACAAACATACAACCAGTCACAATCATATGCTCAACCATCTACAAATCCTCCTTCTCAGTGGTACCAAAATCAAAACACCCAAGCATATTCTTCAACTACTTCAACCCAAGCTAATTATTCTTCTGTACCCATGTCTCAAAATTATATGGGTCATTCACAGAATTTTTCCAGCTCTGCAAGTAATTCTTATGGATCTCCTCCAACAACAACCCAGTCTAATTATGGCCCTCCACCCCAGTCCAACTATATCCATCCATCTACAGGATCTAACCCTCAAGGATCAACTCCACCACCATCTTCAGCACCCCAGAGTCGTTTTTCTTCAAGCTATGGTCAGGGTAATTATTCCCATTATAGACCTGCTTCTCAGCAGTCTGGTTTAGCTCATCCCAACATGAATAGCCAAATGGGACCCCCTACTGTACATAGGCAATCAGTGCCTAATACTAATACTCAGAATTATAGCTATGAACAAAATCAGGCTTATTCTTCTTATCAGTCTCAATAATTGTTTTATAATCATTATTGAGAATTTTAAGGCTATAGTTAATGTAATATGTGGATTTTTCTTTTCACATGAAACTGCAATTTTGACTTCAAGAATACAAGAAAAATCATTTTTCTTTGGTGTTAAATCTGTTGTTAATTTTATATTTGAATTGAATTTGCATATATAGAAGATATTTTGTATTTTGCAGCCTTTCTAGTTATATACTGCACATTCTGCTATCTTTTATGTTTTTCCCCCTTCATATACATGTACAGAGTAAACTTTCTTGTAGCTCAGAAATTAAAACAAAATCACTTTTAATATAGTTTTGAATTATAAAGAACTATTTAGTGTTATTTCTTCTTATTTTAGTTTATAATGTTTCTGAATTTTAATTCTATTGTGTATGCAAAATTTCCAATCTACAGTAGGAAGGGTTTCAATACATTTGCCTCATGTTGAAGAAACTGAATTTTTTTATAATCCATAGAATGCTGAAATAGCATTGAAATGCTACTTGTGTATATTAATCATTAAATACAGTATTGGTATAAACTACATGCATTTGGGTACTCTCTGTCACTGCTACATACTATACATTAGCCTAAAAATTATGCAATTTTAAGATTCTGACTACAAAACTTGATGGAAATCAGTGTCCTTCTAGTTCAATAGAAATTGTATAACTGTATTGAATTGCTGGTAATTAACAGAAATATATCTGAAAAGACATAGCATTTTAGTGCTAAGGGTAGAAAATAAATTTCAGCTAAAAATAAATATTCCCCTTCCTTTCTACACATACAACTGTTTGAATTTCAAATACTTTTTTCAGTAATCATAGTATTATTATTTGTATTTTATTAGATTTGATGTATTTTAATCAATAAATATGTATGGTGCTTAATCATATTGCATAAGTTACAGTCTTGCTACTTAAGACTGCATACATGCATATTAGAATCTCTATAGTTGATATTATTACGTGGCAATATATTTGTTGAAAAAGTGTATTTGTAGCTTAATATGTAGCAGAAATATGTTCATTGTTGGGAAAATGCAAAACTTGTAAAAGTTACATAATTTTTGTATAAAATATATAAACCATAAAGGTTTCCTATAAATAAACTATATGCATGTATTATATTATCCTATAATAATTATTAATTATCTTTATTGTGTTTGTGTTTATATCCAGTAGTGAAAATTTTTGTCTGTAGTTTTTTAAGTCAAAGCCTTATACTTTTAATATATATATATTAAGAGTTTTTTTTTTCCTCCCCCCCCCCAAGATCACCATTAAATGAGGTTGAATAATTTGTAATGCTTTGTAGCTGGGTTAATATTTGTTTTTAAGATTTGATAAGTTTTTTCTGCATGATGTAGAAATCATGATAAGGGTAGTAATTTTATCTCTTTCTCTGGTGCATTCCCATACACAAAAAAGTAGGAGGGGGAAAAAAAAAAGAAAAAGAAAAAGAATCGTAGAATTTTTACAGGACATTTGAGTTGTCATAGTCTATTGTAGAATTTCTGTTATGAAGATTCAGCACTATCAATTCATATTTGTGTTTTTGTTCTATATATAATGACTGACATATTATTTAATTTATTCACACAATGTTCAATATGTACATTAATTTCTGATTTTGTTTTCATTGTATTTAAAAGTATTTTGATAAATAAAAGCTGGCTTTTCTCAATATAAAAAAAAAAAAAAAAAAAGTAAGAAAGTTAAAAATGAAATTAGCCTGAAAAGATAAATTTTAGAATATATATTAAAAATTTTTTGTATTTTTATTTCAGGATCATATTATAAATAGTTCAGTAAAATCATGCATTATAGAGTGAACTTAAGTCAGTTTACAATTTTTGTAAGTGTGACTCCACAGGGCAAAATTCTGACAGAAACTCGCAATTTTTTATTATATATGTTAAGAATCTCCTAATTTTTCATATAATAAGGTTGGCAGCTATGGCATAAAATTAAGAAGGTAGCCGAATCAAATGAAACTAGCTAAAAAGCATTAAGTAATATTAAAATTTAGAATGAGGAATTAAAAAATTAAAGTACACTAATATTTTAACTATGTTAATATTTTATTACATCAATATTTCTGATTAAGAAAATGATGTTTTTATACTTTTATTATATATACACATATTTTCTTTATTTAGAAAATCTTTAATCCAGAAATTATTGCAAAAATTAAAAAGTGTAAAACTTGTAAATTTATTTAACTTGTGCAGATAATTTTGTTTTTGTGAAATGTTATAAAATCCCCTAAAATTGTTGAAACTAATCACAGAAACTTCTACTGTAATAAAATTACTACCTCAGTCATGATCAATAACTCTGTTGACGAAAAGCATTACTGAACTTTTTAAAAATTTCCTGTGAATATATGCACCTCTTCTGAATATTATTTAACTTTGTTGTTTTAATACCAGTTGTAGGTTTTCAAGGTCTCTTATTTTCAAAATAGTTTGCAATTTTCTTTATGGCTGAAATATTTTTTGTGAAAAATAATTGTCTGTGTTTTTTAAAAATTTAAAAATATTGTCTTCTGTGTCTGTCTCATTGTCACAGATTAATTAATGTGAATTAAAAATATATATTTGCTCAATATTTCTACTGAGTGTAATTAATATTGTCATAAATGTTTTAGTAACCATTGGGTGCTTTTATCCACATAGTTAATGTTCACCAGTTCCATCCTGCATTTTGTTTTGAAGGTTAAAGAAGTTTCTTATTCCATATCAAAAAACCCTTTTCTGTTGTATATAGATAGTTTTCATACTGCATGCTGAATTTTCGATAGTTTTCATACTGCAAGCCAAATTTTTGGTGATCATGTATGCAGTCTACCGCTTTTAGTTAGTTGCGTGTTTTTTAGAAGGTGGCACTAAAACTGACTTTTGTTCTAATCACTTCTTTTCCCCATTGTTTTTTCACACATTCAAATTTTAAAAAAATCATTTTTGTGTTACCATGTAAGAAATAACTATCTAAAAGCGGTAAATCACATACTGCATGATTGTCAAATTTTCTTATAACGACTGTGTATTTTAAATACTCATTCTGTAATTTTATGACTGTATTCGTTTTGTTTGCATATAGATGTTCGTTGCCTATAAATGTCGTAATGTTTTAATGGCTATATTTGGTATTCGTAATTTCATGTCAGAGCATTTTTATGTATTTCTTATTTTAACATATTGTAACCAATTTTTTTAAAAGTAATGAAATTCAGATTTTATTGAATTGTACAGATCCATATGAAAGTAGCAAACTCCAGTGTTGATTGCAGAATTTTACATTTATTTACATTTTTGCAAATATTTGTTTTGCTTGGTGTTTATAAATAAGCAGATGAGCATCCCAATTTTGAGAAGGAATTTGTTTTCATGATTAACAAAAATAAGGGAAAACTCAAGCATTAAACGTATGTTTTCTCAAAGATCGAAAACTTCGTATCAAGTGCTTAGATCTTGTAAATTTGAAACAAAATGCAAACTTTATATGTAAGTTAGCTTAAGGAGCAGTGAAGCTCTCAAAGAGTATCAGATGTATATAAATAAAAGTCTTACAATTTTTTAAAAAACTTTTATTGATATAATGGTGTAGTCAAGATAAACCATGAATTTGAAGGAAAATTTTAATTCATGTTACGAGTATATGCATAATGGGTTTTATTTAATTTTTCTTGTGAAAATTAGCAATGTTGTTCTTTCAAGAATCATTTTAATCATTTGTGCTTTTAACTCAAGTTGTGTGTAATATTGGAAATAAGAGAATTGGATTCATTATGTAAAAATTTCCACTTTTTGGAAAAATGTACTTTAATTTAATTGTAAAATTCTTCTTTAAAAACTGAATTAGTAAGCTCAGCTTGCTTGTTTGTTTTGAAACTGGAAAGAGAAAAAGACTGCTTTATATTGCTTAACATGTGATCACACATATTTTTAAGTATTTGTAAAAGGTATTTGTTGTAATATATTTTTGGCTTGATAATAAAATATTTGATTTCAAAATAAAATATATATGTTTAGTATTACATATTGTTGATATCTTTTGACTTAATACTTTAATCTGGAGTTTTTATCTCATTTTCGGTTTCCCAGAATATTTGTGGGTGAGATTTGAGTGAGATACTTCGAAGTCTGATGCTTTAGAATAACATAAATAATTAAGTTATTTTACTGAAGACAATACACTTTATATAGTGAGGATGTGCAAGAATATAAATTTATGACATCATTCAAAAATTACTTATAAATTTGAAGGATGATATTGTAAATTTGCATTTGTATTTGAGAATATTATTCTAAATTTCATGGTGAAATTCCAACCGGATTTTTAAAGTAAAAATTTCAGTTAGAAATGTAAATGAATTTAATTATACTTTAATAATACAGTAAATATGAATTATTTTCAGAAGACAATAAATTGGATACACATATAGTTTACTAAGGATGTATATTTATGAAATAATTCAGAAATAATGCATAAATTTGAAGTGATGTATTAAAAATTTTGTTCTTTGAGAATGTTATCTTAAATTTGATGTTGGAAGATCCTTAGATACAAATGGATTTTTAAAATAAAATTTTCAGTTAGAAATTTTAATGAATTAAACTATTATATTTATGTATGTCATTTGTATGTTACCTCTGTTGTCACTAAAATTCTGTTTATATCTGAACACTGTTCTTTTAGGAGCACAATTTTTAGTTGCATGCCAAAAATGTAAGACCTAAAGAAATAATTTCTTGCTTTTTAGTGCATTGTATTGAAACCATGTAATTTGAAACATTTTGATTTATATTTTGTAGTTTACAGAAAAGAAAGGAAAAAAAATATTCCTTTGTATCAGCATAGCAACAAAGTACTTGATGTCACCTTCATTTCAAGGTCTCTGAGTTTTGTACGAAATCATGTGATGTTTGAAAGAAATGAACAGATGAAATGATGTATAATATTGGTAAAAATTATCAAAAATTGCCTTATTAAAAACTGATCATTTTTTGTTTTAAAAGCAGGTGCAGGGCAATTGCAAAAATTTCAAGACATTTTAAACAACAATAGAAATTTAATTACAAACTGCACACGATATGATGCAGGGAAGGAGAAATAGTTAAAATTCGGAAAATTTTCGAAAAAAGCTTCTTTTAAAATTTTATTTTCCTAGCTGTGTGATGGTACAACATCAAAATTCTGCATTAAAATTTTGATCTCTGTAGAAAAACCTGTAAATAATACTTTAAATTTCAAGGAAATCCAATACATAAAAGTGGATTGAAAATTGATGTCAAAATTTGAACCACACTAATAAACATAAAAGTTAATAAAATATATTTAAGGAAATTAATATGGTGCACCAATAAATTAATGGTAAGTACCTAGATATGTGTTAACAGAGGAAACAAAAATGAATTAAAACTGCATTTACTAAGCAAAACTAAAATTTGATTAAGTTGCCGCTGCTCAGGCTGCATGTCAATAGTCTTCGTAATACTGCTACTACAGTGTACCAGAAGAGCTAAGGGATTATTGCTCTGCAGAAACTATGCAATGTACAAATATACTAGAAGGTGCAATCAAAGCGTGATTCCTTGGAGAGTGAAGATTTAGGTTATGGCATAGCAAGCAAGGCTATGTGTCTGGGAAGGGGTATGTTGTCTTATATTCCCATTACACTTGGCAAAAATCGCAAAAATGTCCATACAGCCAGTCTTCCCCCCCTTCCCGCCAGATTAGAACTGCCAGTATTCAGCGATTTTGCAGCTGGTGGACAGCCCTATGAGGAGCGTTGTTTTAATGGTCTACAAGTGATATAAGCAGAAACCTTACTGCAGTTGTTGTATGAAAATTTTTTCCTGTGCGGGCATTTCACCGGTTCCCCAACAATTTCCTCTATCACATTATGATTGAAAAATCTACTCCCGGAAGTCTAAACTTCTGATTCACCTTGTAGATTCACCTAGCAGCGATTCACCTTGTAGATGACTAGCAGAACAAGCCCTTATGAATAGTGTGAGATCGTAGAAGAAACCCATTGTAATTTTTTATGAGTTTTTGTATCATCACTATAATCGTTGTAATCTTCATTGTAATTTTTGATGAGTCTTTGCTGTATTAACCCACCAGCATAAGGGAAATCGACCACTTTGGTAGAATTGGAATCTTTAGTACAACTTGGATGTATTCATTGAGGGATATGTTGACACACAGCATTATAGGGATGAGGTCTTGAACTTTATATGAGGCTTTCTTTGTATGTATATAAAGAACAGAACTTTAGTTTTAGGACCATAATGCAGGCCATGCAGAACTCAACTGTTTACCGATTTTCTAAATAGACTGGATATTCATTGCATGATATGGCCAGCAACTTTGCAATATTTCTGGTGTGCCATAAGAAGACTGATTACATGAAGTCTGAACTCTAGGCATTAAAAACCCTCTCCTTTACAAGAATAAGATTTGTTGCCACAAGCTTTTGTTAATAATCTGATTTACAGTATGAGGGCCTATTGTGAGACGCAAAGTTGTACGAAGTGGCCACACCAGCGTCGCTATTCTAGAAATACCATGTGACTCTTTTGGGTTCCAGTTGTATTTCACAAACTTTTACTTCTTATTATTAATTTATTTTGTTACTGTTGTTTGCTTTACAGGTTTGAGCATCTATGTATAAAATTTTATTACAGTAAAGATATTACATATGTTTTGCATTTGTTATTTAAATTTTATGCAGTTTATCTTTTTTTCAGAGAAGGAAAATCTTACGTTTAATATAGAAAAATATTTTCTACTTAAGCAGTTTCGCTGGCACAATTCTTAGAACTTGGCTACATTATTAGTGTTCGCAATGTACGCAAGTAATATAAATGAATTTAAAAATGTATATGTGGAAATGTTCCAAGCAGATTTAAAACTGCAGAGATTGCAATAGTTTAGTTGACTGTTCTTGAACGGCTAGCATTTAGGACATTGACTCAGCTCGGACAGAACACTCATGTAATGGATGTGTATTTGCAGATTTCAATCATAAGTAATACTGTATGTTGCCAAATCTGTTGAGGGACCTGATATACATTGAGCAATAAACAGATCTTTATTATATGGTTTTCTTCAAATAGATAAGCTGAATCTTTTTTTCTTTATTTTTTCTTCCAAAGATGGGATAATTCGCACTTTTGAATCTTTAATCAAGTCATTTATGGATGCACTAGAAGTATGCATTTATCTGCTGTGATTGTTTTTTCAAACTTTGCCTGTTAAGTCCACTTTTTTTTTTTTTTTTTTTTTTACTATTCAGCTTTTAAGATGCGTAATATAATTTGAAATAAAAGTCAGCTCGAGAATTTTTATCTGATGTCCTTTAGTTCAATAATTCCTTAGAGTTTCGCAAGATCATTACTTAATGAAGACAAAAATAACCTTTGTTTGAGAGATTGGTGGGTTGGCGAGTTTCCTTTATGTGTGCCTTTAGCTCGTAATTGGCGTTCATTTCTGATGACAGCTTCATCTTTTGCCTTAAATAATGTTGCGAATTTTGTACATAGATAGATAATTTTAGTGAAAATGTTGTATTTTTCTGTATAAAGTAACATGTAAAGCTTGAGTGAAACAATGCTCTGCCGGAAAAATAAAAATATAGAAACTAATTAATATAGCATTGGGTAAATGGCTATCTTACTAATTTGGTGAGATATCGCCAAGCTGGCAGCGGTTTTGGCGAAAAATCATTAAAAGTCCTTAATCTTGGCGACATTTGTGCCCCATCCCTGTATAACTGTAATGGGTATCATAATTTAATAACTGTAATTGATCGTCTGTGAAACTGTAACCGTATCCAGTTCTCATATGCCTTCCAGTGATTTCGAGAAGTACTAGAAACTTCTCGGCGGCCGGAAGATAACTATTTGAAACCGCTAAGAGCATTAGTTTCCCAGCTGGTGAGTTGTTAGTTCAGAGCGACTTCGGAGTATTGAGATATCCGTGAAAGCTTCAGCTTTTAGATGCGCTTTGCATAACATTTCATAGTTTAACGTTCTTAGTAGTTTGAAGTGTAACTACTAATTGTACTCTGTGATACTCTAAACACCTGTACGAGTATTTCGGTGAAAAATTTCAGAACTCTTAAGTGTTTCCTTTGATAAAATAAATTCTATGCTATTTTGCAGTAATTTTTCATATTAGCCTTTTTTTTTTTACTAACTATTTATGAATTTGCTATTTTGGGATTGTCACCGCTGTATCTCACAGACATAAGCCAATTCTGTTTTCGAATCGTAATTGCTTTACTATCTGATACTTAATTAACTGTTTTCTGATAACAGCATTTCTTATTATAACTTCTAATTCAGTCTTCCGTGTGGTTGATTTTGCAGTTATGCGAGGTGCATCAAAGAATCATTTATCTTCAAGGCTGATATTCAAATTTCCTTCATGTTCAGGTAGGTACACAGCGCGGCGGGAGGGGGGGGGAATTCAAATGTTCAGATTTTAAATTACGTCCAAAGGGGCATTTTTTAAATATTTGTGTGCTACATTTATTTATTAAATATCATGTTCTTCGCACTTAAACCATAAAATTCAGTTCAACAACAATATCGCAAAATAGTAGTTTTAAAATGAGTATATATTTAGAATTTTCGATACAGAGACTCACGCGTTGGAGATAAAAAAAATGTTTTCTCTGTACAACGTTGCCATTGCTCGCTTTGAAATCCTTGAGTTTGTTAATCAAAAATTCGTTAAAGTTTTACGAAATAGGAAATCCATAATGAAACAAATTTCAAATTTGGTCTTCCACGTGCCCATATTCGTAGGAGGATTACGTCATTCAAAATTCGATGGCTCTATGTACCGTTGTTTTATCACAATACGAGAAATATATATACATTTATGCAGATTTTTCATTATAACACAGGGCGATAATACTTTGTGGCAACAGTTTGAAAAGTGATTCGCGGTTTGTAGTAAATCGACGCAAAATCACAAAACGAAAAATTTGAGTCAGTTCTATATCTCCCGTTCTACTGGGCCGATTGACAAAATTCAAATCGCGATTTGCATGTCTCGAAAGCGCAACTGAGTATATATATTAGATTTATATATAGCATCGTTCTAACATATGTATTTTTACACAAAATCGGACTTTTTTAGAAATAACATACCAATTTTTTTTTCATATTTTTACTCTACGACTCAAATTATGCCTAAATATTAAATTTTGTAAAATATGGTGCAAAATTTACGGAGAAATTCTCGAATTTATCCTGTCGTCTTTTTTCAGCTTGCGCTAAGAATAATTCACTTGGCGAACTTCTTAATACATGGCAACTGATTTTCCTTTCCTCGTTTCTACCATTTTCTACTTCGTTTCTCCCATGAGCAGAAAAAAGATACATCTTTCCTATTTTCATATAATTTTAACGAAGTGCGTAAACTACATTTGATGTTTTTATCGCTTTCAACAAATATACCAAATTTTGGAACGAGCCAATATATAAATTCACGTATATCTTCATAAATTTTGAATAAATAACTGCAATTTTTTTGCAGGTATGCTTAAAAATGCGTCTACTTTAAGATGATGGTAAAAATTTTGTTGATTATAATTCAAAATTGTTTTCGAAAAATTTATAAAATTATTTAAATATAAAAATTTTAAATATAAATCATAAAAAATGGATGAATTTTATTTGGAATGAACCTGAATTTCGAAATGTGAAAAGAAGAATAAAATAAGTTTAGTAAAAAAAGAGAGATTAATAAATGTATACCAAACTCAATTAACATTGTAGAGCTAAAATTTTGAGAGCTAATTTTTTAAAAACTACTCGTGCGATTTTTACAAAACTAGGTAGTTTGGCGTAATTTGAGTCGTAGAATTAAAATATGAAAAAATTGGCATAGCCATTTCAGAAAAAGTCCAATTTTGTGTCAAAATACCTGTATTAGAACAATACTATGTATAAATCTAATACGTATCATAAGTTGCGCTTTAGAGACATGAAAAACGCGGGTTGAATTTCGTCAATCGGCCCAGTAGGAATGGGAGATATAAACTGTCCCCCCCCCTTTTTTCTCCCGCAGTGTACTTCTTCGGAATGAAAACTGGATACTCTGTATCTGTGCATCAAGTTCTAAATATAACACAAATAAAGCCTGGCGTTTATGGTATCTGTTTTAACTTTCAGATATAAATTTAAAGTAAGTAAAAATATGAAAAATTATATAAAAACAAATCTTAATGAATGGAATATTGGCAGAAATGTTTGTAGAAACATAGTAAGTTCTCAGCAGAATTCTAACCGTTGCCATTTACCAGATATTAAGTTATTGGAGCTTTTATACTGCAAGCTCGTAGCACCTTTGTAAATTAAAATTATAAAAAAAAAATATATATAGCGTGAAATAAACGTGCTTTTAAATAAAGTGCATTAAGTGTATTTCGGTTGCTTTTTATATTCTTTGATTAACTCTTCATTTGACGATATATCAAATAAATATTATCATCTGAGATTTTGTCTGATTTAGGGTCGTTTTTTATCATTACTCAGACCTCTGCGTATATTCGTTGAAATCAATTTTTAAAAATCGATTTTTTTGGGAAGCTATCTCTGTTTTGAATATGAGATTTTTTCTGTACGCTTTTATGTTGATTTCGACAATTGGGAGAAGTAAGTCGATTCATTTTTATCAGTATATTCAAATTATTTCTTCAGAAACTGATTGCGAATGCGAATTGAATTGCAAATGCCAACTCATTCGTAAATGAAGGTTAATTTTGTGATGTTTAGTCTTAGAGAAGAAGGGGGAGGGGAATTGTGTAAATTTCAATTTAAAACTTGACGCATGTTGGAATATTTATTAGCACTTGTGGGCTGAAATGCGGTTTAGCCCACTGCTTGGCGAATTTTTTTGAATGGATAATAAATTTGCCAACATGGCTAACCCGATATTTTGAAGCTGTGATTTTATTCTGTTGCCACTAAATGTTATCGCCTTGTGTTATATTTAATGAAATCAAATATTGAAAAATCTTCATAAATGTTTCTCTCATTGTGATAAAACAACGGTACCTAGAGCCATCAAATTTTGAATAACGTACGTTTCTAACCGCATATGGGCATCTGGAAGCCCAAATTTGGAATCTGTTTTTTTATCTGTATCATATTTTGTAAAATTTTAACGAAATTTTGATTAACAAACTCAAAGATTTCAAAGCCAGCAATGGCAACACAGTACGGAGAAACAAAAAAATTTTTATCTCCTAAGCGCGGAACTGCGTATAGGAAATTCTAAAGCTATGCTCATTTTAAAGTTATTTTGCGATATTGCTGTTGAACTGAATTTTATGATTTAAGTGCGAAGAACATATTCGAGAAATAAAGGTAACACATAAAACGTTAAAAAAAGCCCCTTTGGACGTAATGTAAAATCTGAAAGCTTTCAATAATGTTCATATGTGGTGGTTCTTTAATCGAGGTTTTTTTTTTTTTTTTCCTTGTGGGTTTTTGCCATTTTTCTGCATATATAATTCGGAAACGGCGGTTAAAACGTTAGTCAATTTTCTTAAAGATGGAGGGGTGGTCCGAAAGGGTTTCCACCTGAGTTAAATTCAATATATGCATTTCTAAATCCCCTCAAAAAGACTTTTTCCTGAAAAGGGATAAGTGAAAAATTTTTTCTTGTATGCTTCGTTTTAAAGTTGCTTAGTTTTAATATTTTGTTATCTTTTTGGCTCAGTCCTAGAAGATAGGAAAAGCTGAGGTTATGCAATTCTCTGATGTTTTTTAAGTGAAAATAAGTCGATGTGTACATGGGCAAAGCCAATGCATTGCGTAATGCCAAAGTTGTGCGGGATACCGAGTTTGTACGATTCTCTGGTGTTTTTTTTAAATGAAACTAGATCGATGTGTACACGGGCAAAGCCAATGCAGAGTTTTTGCAATTCTCTGATGTTTTAAGTGAAAATAGACTAATGTGTACATGGGCGAAGCCAATGCAGTGCGCAATGCTGATGTTGAGCGCGATGCCCAATGTGTACATGGTCAAAGCCAATGTAGTGTGCAATGCCGAGTTTGTGCAATTCTCTGATTTTTTTTAAAGTGAAAATAGATCGACGTGCTCATGGGAAAAGCCAATGCATTGCGCAATGCCGAGGCTGTCCGTGATGCCGAGTTTGTGCAATTCTCTGATGTTTTTTAAGTGAAAATAGATCGACGTGCTCATGGGAAAAGCCAATGCAGTGCGCAATGCTGATGTTGAGCGGGATGCCGAGTTTGTGCAATTCTCTGATGTTTTTTAGTTTTAAGTGAAAAAACATCAATGTGTACATTTTCAAAGCCAATGTAGTGTGCAATGCCGAGTTTGTGCAATTCTCTGATTTTTTTTAAAGTGAAAATAGATCGACGTGCTCATGGGAAAAGCCAATGCAGTGCGCAATGCCGAGGCTGTGCGTGATGCCGAGTTTGTGCAATTCTTTGATGTTTTTTAAGTGAAAATAGATCGACGTGCTCATGGGAAAAGCCAATGCAGTGCGCGATGCCGAGATTGTGCAAATCTCTGATGATTTTTAAGTGAAAATACATCAATGTGTACGTGGTCAAAGCCAATATAGTGTGCAATGCCGAGGTTGTGCGCGATGCCGAGTTTGTGCAATTCTCTGATTTTTTTAAGTGAAAATAGATCGACGTGTACATAGGAAAAGCCAATGCAGTGCGCGATGAAGAGTTTGTGCAATTCTCTAATTTTTTTTAGGTGAAAATAGATCGATGTGCACAATAGATCGATGTGCAAGCCAATGCTGGTGCGCAATGCCGAGGTTGTGCGCGATGAAGAGTTTGTGCAATTCTATGATGTTTTTTAAGTGAAAATAGATCGACGTGCTCATGGGAAAAGCCAATGCAGTGCGCGAAGCCGAGGTTGTAGTGAAAATAGATCGATGTGTACATGGGCAAACCCAATGTAGCCCGCAATGCTGAGGTTGTGCGCGATGCCAAGTTTGTGCAATTCTCTAATGTTTGTTGCAATTCTCTAATGTTATTCTCTAATGTAAGTAAAAATAGATCGACGTGCACATGGACAAAGCCAAGGCAGTGCGCAATGCCGAGTTTTTGCAATTCTTTGATTTTTTTCCTCTTTTTGAGTGAAAATAAATCGATGTGTACATGGACACCAAGTTTTTACAATTCTTTGATGTTTCTCGAGCGGATACAAATCCTTGTCACATGGGCAAAGCGAGGCTATATGTTATGCCGAACAGTAATGTAACGTATTTTATATGCAATCTTTAATGTATCGTTTGTGTATTTTAAATTTTATTGTTGTTTTAATTGCAAGTTATACTTTACAAATCTTTGTTTTTTGTATTTAAATTGTATTTTTAATTGTTTGTTTTTTATATGTTGTAATGCTTTCCGAAAAATATCGATAATCCGACGATATACTCAATAGTAGCAAAACTGTAAACTTTGTCCCTATAAATAATTTTTACTTTGTTATTTTAATACGTAGTATTTGCTATCGCAATTGCACTTGATAAATATGAGTTCATTGATAATATGTGTGTGTGTGAAGCATTGCTTTGTGTTCTAAATTTGTAGTGTTTATTTTCTTTCATTGTGAGAAATTATATTTTTTTATTTGTAGAATGTATAGAATTCTAATATGTCTACAGAGAATATGACGTGATTTAAGAAACAGTAATATAAAAGCTGTGTATGATGTAGATATGCAATAAAAATATTTTCTTTTTTTATTAATGTAAAGTTTAAAATTTTTAGAAAATAATAAAGATTATCTACTTACTAGTACCTAAGGGATTGTGTCGTTACGTAGCAACACGGTAATTTGTAAAAATGATAAAATTAAAATGTTCGATAATATGTATTTAAATTTGTTGGCAACTACTCTCGTAAAAGAAAAAGAAAAAAAGAAGAGGAAAATAGTTATTGATTTGAACATTTTGGCAACAGAGAGAAACCAGACGAAAAAACTTTAAAATTTTAAAGCAAAGGAATATAGTACTTTCCTGAATAGAAAGAAAGTTCAATAAGATTTTTTGGTAATAAAGATGGTAACTAAAAGCCGACTATTTTCGACCTACAGAATCCTTGTTTATTTACTTCAAGCGTTTTTTTACTAGTAAAGAACTTTTTTAATACTTTAAAATTGTGGCTACGAGGAAATCTACTTGCGGCTCTTGAATATTCCTGAATTATCTTGCAACTCCCGCTGGTGTAAAGCATGACCACCCCTTAAAAGCGGATAGTACATATGTTCTTTGTAATCGATTAAATAAATAAAATGCTGTTTTTTAATGTGAATTTTTTTTTTTTTTTTAAAGTAAGAAGGAAATAAATCAATATCTACGGTTATATATAGATGTAAATTTATAGGTAATTTTCAAATGCTTTCTAGGATTGCATATTTATTTAATATTACCTTTGAATAAATAGCTACCGGTGAAAGGAGTTTTACAAAGCTGAAATTAATGAAAAATTATTTGAAATAAATAGCATCAGAAAAAACGTCTTACTGATTTGTCAATGATTTTAATAGAAAGTGGTATTATGGATATTTCAGATATAAAAGATGTGATTAAAAATTCTGCTGCGGCTAAAACTTGAAGAATTAAAAAAAAATCTAAAATGTTCTAAATTTTAATTAGTTGCCCAAAAGGGTTTGCTAAGGTCTTTTATAACTTTTTTTTTTTTTTCCTTTTTAGCTTTGTTATTAAGCATCGTTTTCTTCGCACTTACGCCATATACAGTTCAACAGCAAAATCACAAAAATTTTAAAAGCTGGATAGCAGCATATATTCAGAATTTCCGATGCAGTGTTGAGTGTTAGCATACATTTTTCTTTTCTTTTCTTTTTTTTTCAGTCTTTTATCACTTTATCATATCAATATTGAATTTTTCTTAGAAAAATGGCTTAAAAAATTTTTTTTTTGTCTTTTTATTATTAACGCTTTTGTGCGTTAAGTTGATTTATTCAATATCACAATCTTCACACTTGCGCCACATAAAATTCAATTCAAAGCAAAATCACAAAATGTTAAAAAAAAAGCATATCTTAAGAATTTCTGGTAGACAGTCCCACGAGCTGAAGATAAAAATGATTTATTCGGTACCGTGTTGCCAGTGCTCACTTTTAAATAACTGAGTTTGTCAATAAAAACGTCATTAAAATTCTACAGAATATGAAATAAATAATAAAAAATAAATAACGTCATTCTGTGTCTTCATTCTATTAAATGCATTTTTATTTATTATTTAAACCAATTCTATTCAAAAGTAAGAAACGAATATTCTTAAGAACGACATCTGTTGCTTTCAGACAACTTAGTTTGCTAATCCACAATAGGCTTATTCAGTATGAAAAATAAATATCTTACATTTTGCCGAATGGCAAGAGACTCGAATGAAAAGTGAAACGACGTTTTTATAGTGATTTGACGGAAAATCGCTTTTGGAGATCGCTCCTTTGCGCTAAAAAGTGTATTGAATGGCATACCATATAGAATAGTCCAACATATTTCGTAGATTTTTTTGACTAATAAAATTTGTTTGTTTAAATGATTTTTTTATGTACGCGAAAATATAATTTGTATTCATTATGCTAAATAAATTTCTTGTTTTTTCTAAATAATTTGCATTTTCGCTTTCAAATT